TCGTGTTGTGGTTGCAGCTGCAGACTGGGAAGGATCTGGATAACTTTATTAACACACTGGACTTAGCAGAGGCAGTGCAGGACCTGATGTTATCATCTAGCCTTTCCTGACAATCCATAGTGGACTTTAGCAGCAGAACGCAGTTCTGGTGCTGCCATCTTCCTGATCATTTCAAACCCTGCTCTTAATTTCATTGTAGTTTAGTTCTAAGGCTCAGGTGTTTTGTTTTGGCTTGCTTTTACTTTTCTGATTCTGTTTTACAAAATTATCATTTCTGTTTGGTCATCCATAATTTCTCCTTCCCTAATTCTTTTACAAAATGTTATAACATTGTATATTCCACATACAAAAATTCTAATTTGGAATTTTTTTTTCATAGAAACTGTGTAATAGGAAATTTAAAAAAACCTTTTGGGAAATTATTTGGTTATTCCCAGATATATTATTTTTAAAACATTTTACAGTTGGAAAAGGTGATGTATGAATTTGGTGAGTTCAAATGATTCAGAAAGGTAGACATTGAAGAACAATTCTCTTTTCTCCTTCCTTTTTTCTCGCTGAAGTTTTCTGTTGGCACTACTTTTACTTTCACTATTTTTTTCCTTCTAGAATTTGTGCGTGCACAAAATGATGAATGTATTTTTATAGGATTCAGAATTTGTATTTTGGCACTTGGGTGGTATTCATATCTCTTGGAAGTTCTAAGGCTGGTTATACCTATACTTTTTGAAGTACACTACTTCACATTGTTTTTTTGTGAAATAAATATTGAAGTTGCATAAGAGGAAGAGGTATAGCTTACATATCATCCAAGGTGAGTGATCAGGCATTTCCTATTTTCTGCTTTCAGTTGTGTTGAGTTTCATAATAATTTTGAGCTGACCCTTTTTATTGCAAACAAAGTACAGATCGCTTGATAGCAATCGAGGGTACTTAGGTGACTGGATCTTCAGTTCTGATATTAATCCACCTAGCAAAAGGTCTCTGAGCACTTTATCCTACAACTTGTGCTTTAGCTTGACCTGTTCCAAACACTTACAAGAGGATATTATTATCATCAAAATCGTGAGGCACAAAGGAGTTGAGATTTTCACAGGCACACTCTATGACTTTGTAAGGGAACCAAACAACGTTGCCCAATATTCCTGGCTCCTTGGCTTTAAGCGCTAATTCAGAACTGTTTTAACAAGTGCATTAGGCCTCTGCCAACTGTAGAGGTAGACTGATGTGATTTGACACCTGTTATTTTCAGAATGTCATAGATTGGCCATCTACTCCCAGAAAACCTTTTAAGAGGCTCCAGTTAAAGATCTCTTTCCACCTGGTATTTCCTCATTTTTCAGTCTTCTTGGTTTTCAGCCCTCCTTTCCCACCTACCAATCCTCTTCAAACTGCCCCACCAGATATGGAGTAGACTTACGTTACCAATCCATTTTGTAACCCTAATGTTAATTAAAACCATGTATTCATGTGTGTACATCTGCATTCCTAGAAGACTGTTTCAATAGCTTATTCTGGAAAATGTCCAGTGAAGGTGTCTGGCATCTCTTTTCAGTCCTTAAAAAAAAACATTAAATTTTAAAACTCCAGATTATTTAGAAGAGTTAAGCATAGGGCTGTGAGGAAAAACTTAAGTTCCCGTGCTTGCTTGGTATTACTAGGACTTAATTTCTTTTGAATATTTAGTTTTGCAATTCCTCCATGTATTATTTCAATTGTGTTCACTTACTGGCCTTTAATTACATAGGTTTACGTTGTTCTGAAGCCTGAACATAAAAGATACCATTATTTTGAAATAATAGTTCACCTTCCTGACACACTTTTCATTTTTTTGAACTGCCAATTGTATAGAAGATGGCAGTGTAACTTCTCTGATGTTTTTGTTAAAGATTTCTAAAAATTCTGTTGGTATTCTGCTTGAGACAGGTCTTTGATAAGGGCTGTCGTGCCTATTGCTAGTGACAGAGCTCTTTGTTGTCTGCTGTTGATGGTGATAAGTTAATATTAGAAGAGAACCTTTCAATCAGAAAGTCCCTGAAGCCAGAAATAGACACAAAAGATTAACAATTAGGACAGAGGGCAGTCCTATCCACCATTTCTCTATATAGATAGAAAGAACATTGTAAATTTAATTTACAAATGAAGATTTTTTAAAACAGAAGACAGCTATATTTTAAGTGACTTGTTGATACACTCCTGAAATGTATTCCATAGTCTAACCTTTGTGAATTACATTCAGGAAACTTGTTCACTGGATGGCCATGTGCTTGGCGAGCATCTACTGTGTTCTAGGCATTTGCGAACTGATTTCACAAAGCCCAGTAAAGGTGGTGCTGGTAGTCTAGGACACTGGCCAAGTGTAATGGCTGCTTTTGTATTCATACTGCACCCTTCCCCCAATTTATGTGAAAGACTTGAGGGAAAAGTTTAGACCATCCATACGTGAGCAACTTAAAAGTAGAGAAGATAGCTTATATGTAACCTGGTTGAGAAAGCTTAAATTTCCTATGTCTGTGTTCTTTCCACCTTACTATAACTTCCTCTTATAATTAATAGCATTTGATAGTTTAGAGCTTTCCAGTATAGCCCTATAATCAAGTAGTATGTTTATATATTTTAGGGTTCTGCGTCAATCCTGTAATACAAGTAGTACGCACAACAGTAGCTTACTTTATAGGTGTATCACATCAGACCTTTTTCATATCTCAGTCATGTTTTTGCACTATTTTCCTAACTTGTCTCCTGCCTGCAGTCTTGTTTCCCAAATGTCCATCAACTACAAAATGGTCTGGGAAAGCTTTCCAAAAAATAGCTTGTATTCCCTTCCTTAAAACCTTTTAGTTGAAAGAAGGAGAAATTTTGTATATATGTATATACAGGATAGTTAACATGGTTGTTCTTCTATCTTCTATTTCTATGCTGAAAGAAACTGTCAATGAGTCTTTGGTTGACCAGTATTGCATGTCTATATCTGTTTTCATGAGAAGCCACTTTGAAGATATCAATATGTAATACAACCACCATTGTTAATTCCCTACCACTTTGTTTGTAACTCTGTATTGTCTGTATTGTGCTTGTGATATGTTGTAAAATGTTGTATGTCTGTTAATGTTTCCCTCCTTTTATCTTTAAAATAAAAAAAAAATAAAATAAAAAACAAAAGGAAGGAAGACAGCTAATGACAGCAGCCACCAGGAGCTGGAGGAGGCCGGGAAGGACTCTCCCCTAGACCCTGAGGGCAAGGCTCTAGCTCTGGGCCTGAGCAACCCACATAATGACTTTCTGTTTCGTAGGAACAAAGCCATTCACTGAAGCATTCTTTGTAGCAATCTGAGCACTTTAAGTTTTATGTTAAATAAGCTTGACCCCAGTGGCTCCAATAAAAACATAACTCCAAAAAATAAAAAAATAAAAAAAAATAAAACCTTTTAGTTTCTTCCTGCATATTATAGGAAAAATTTTAAGTTCTTAGTGTGGCACAGAAGCTCTCCTCTGAGGTTTCTATTTAGATTTTCCTCACTGTTTCTCCCATGGATGTACCGCACTGGCAATACCAGATTTCTTGCAGTTATTCATGTACACCGTTGTGTTTTGTCATTGCCATACCTTTTCTCATGATGTCATTTATGCTTTGACTACTCTCTATCCTCCTTCTTTTTTCTGGTTATTTTTAAAAAGTAAACCGATAGCTGCTAAATGGAATTACAGGGGTTAATTATATTTGCTGATAATTTGGTTGAACTTTTAACACAAAGCATAAGCCAGCTGCTTCAGATAATGGGTTATCAGGCTGTCAGAAGTTAGCATGTTTAATATTACCTCTTTTATTGTATGCATGCTTTGAAAAAATGCTGGAGTTACTCAGTGTTTAGACTGTTAGAAGAGGTTAATAGGAAAGATTCTATCCAAACTCAAAACCAAATAACTATATTAAGTTAGGATTGGATCCAGTTATAAGTGACTGAAAAATTGAAAAGAGCAGTGATTTACATAAAATAGGTTTTCTGTCTACGGAAATTTTCAGAGAAATGTGCCAGTATCACACCTCCATTCCACGAACTCCCCAGGGATCCAGGTCCCTTTCAGGTCACTTCTCTACTTTCATTAGAGTATGTATATTTTAGGGCTCTACATCAATCCTGTAATACAAGTAGTATACGTAACAATAGCTTATTTTATAGATGTAGCAGGTCAGGCCTTCTCATGCTCATAATGCAAAGTAGATCTGTTTTCTAGGCAGTACAGTGGAGGAAGACAGAGAAGCAGGTCAAGAGAACACTGGTTGTCTTCTAAGGGTGTTCCTGGATGCTACATACCTACCGTGTTAGCTAGAGTTGGGTCATATTTCACTTCTGAATACAAGTACCTATGTGTATAGTTAAAGATTTTGGCACTATGGAAGAAGAGAACACTAAACTTCAAGGGAAAGAAAAATTAAAGGATTTATCTAAACTGTTTAGCCTGATGTTCAACCTAAACTTCAAGCCTTTTCCAATTATCACATGAGTACTGGCACCAATCAAAAGCCTTCTTGTTACTGTAGGTTGAAAGTGGTTGCATCCTTATTGTTTTTTTTTTTTTTTGTACCAGGAATCGAACTCAGGACCTTGTGCTTGCCAGACAGCTGCTTGTGCTGCTGAGCTATATCCCCCGCCAAAGAAACAATCCTTTTTATTTTTTTTGGTACCGGGAATTGAACTCATGACCTCAAGCTTGCCAGGCAAGCACTTATGCTGCTGAGCTATACCCAGCTGGTCACATCCTTATGAACCTTGGAATTCTTTTATTATACTGCAGATACCATATCCTAAGCTTTTATTGCTGTCATTTATCTACCTGTATAGCGTCACAAAACCATAAGCTCTCACCACAGTATAAGTGGCTGGGAGTAGTGACCATGTCTCCCTGCTGGCCCTACTACCTGATAAATAATTGATTTTCAATAAATATTTGTTGTATGAGTAAATAAATAAATATGATGATTTCTTGGTTTCTTATAGAATTTTAGGAAAGGAAGATGGACCAACCCAGTGGAAGAAGTTTTATGCAAGTATTATGTGAAAAGTATAGTCCTGAAAACTTTCCTTACCGCCGTGGCCCTGGGATGGGAGTCCATGTCCCAGCCACACCTCAGGGCTCTCCTATGAAAGGTAAGATAAGACCTAAAATGTTTATTTACTGGAATGTACTTAGGAAGTTATGTATATCACAGTATTGTATAATTCGCAGATAACTTCCTTTAAGTTATGAATCTAATTGTTTGTGTTTGGATGTCAAGTTGTTTTTTTTTTTCTTTCTTGAGACAGGGTCTCACTTTGTAGTGCAGGCTATCCTTGAACTCACTATGTAGCCCAGGCTGGCCTCAAATTCATGGTGATCCTCCTGTCTCAGCCTCCTGAGTGCTGGGATTACAGGCATGCATGCCACCACACCTGGCTGGATTTCAGTTGTTAAAAAAGTCTTGCAGAGTTTGTTTTCCTCTAGATTGGCTAGGAGGTATTTTAATTGTAAGAATAATGTTTGCGTGACACAGTATTTCAAATGCATATTCTTTCAAGAACTGAGAGCATAGGAAACAGTCCAAGGCTGGCCTATCTCTTAAAGACCTTAACAGCTTGTTTAAATTATAAGACATTTATGTTTACAAAGATACGACAAAAGGTAGTTTATGTTGAGCCAAATGAATGCCACCGTGATTAGGAAAGAAATTTAGATAATCAGTGTGACTAGGAAGGTATTCAAAGCTGTGGCTCGAACTAGTCCTTCAGAAATGTAGAGTTTAGTTAGAGAGGAGATAAAAACATTTTAGGGGGCCAGGGATATAGCTCAGTGGCACAGCGCCTGCCTGGCAAGTGCAAGGTCCTGAGTTTGATTCCCGGTACAAAAAAAAAAAAAAAAAAAGACATTTTAGGGCAGAGATTAGACATGAGCAAAGTTCGATAACTAACCAGAAGTGTACAGGGTGTTTTTGCCTTTTAGCTTAATGTTTTACTTAACGGACCTTGGAATTGGTTCTCTGTAATTAAGGGAAATTAATGGTGAATCATTGCTTTAGTTTCTATCAGAGGTCACTGAGTATTTATTATTTCACAATACAGTTATCTTTTCACTTCCTATAACCTGAAATGGCAAAGAGAAGTGGACATCTTGGTAACTTTTTTTAGGATTCATTCCCATTCTGAGAAGTTTGATATTGAAAGGTGTTAAGTTGAAAAATCATATAATTTGAGGCCTCCATTTAATAAAATATGATTTTGTGATTTCTTGTTTTATACCAAATGGAAAGAGTGATTTTATAGACACATATATTTTTGAACTAGGCAGTAGTCAGAGTTGTTACATATGTTTGGCTGAATTAATTGAATACTTCAGATACTGAAACACATTTTCTTATTACAATTACATTTTAAAAGGAGGCTAATTTTCATAAGGGACAAATTCTACATGGAAATGAAGTGGGGATAACTGATAGACAAGTACAAAAGAAACAAATGCAGAGTTCTGAGTGGATATCCTTAAGCGAGGAAGATTTCGTGAATGTGAACTTAACAGAAATTGTTTAGCAGATAATCTACTGGTTTGAGATAATTTTCATAGGCAGTAAAAGATAAAGATACACATCAGACAGAGAAGAGCTATCCAAAATATTTTTGAACTGAATTAAAGAGTCAAGGCCAATAGGAAGTGGTGGTAATCCAGACCCGAATTTCACCTGTGTAGTGTTCCAGTGAAAGATGATAATGTGGGTGATGGCTCTGTTTTGGTAACTGCGATAAAGAACCTTACTGGGAATAAAAACCCAGAGGACTTTGGGATGATGATTTAGTACTTCTGAGCTCCTGCTAGCTGTTTGGCCATCTCCCTTTCAAATTCAGGACTCTTGGATCTTGTTATATTCTTCATTTTCTAGGTCCTTGTGCAATTTCACACTGTTTGATTTTTGTTTCTTGACAATTTCTGGGGTCTAACTGGGGTAGTCAGAAATTAGGCAGATATAAAAGTGTTTTGTGTCCCTTGTGATCTAGATCGCCTCAACCTCCCAAGTGTACTAGTGTTGAACAGCTGTGGAATTACCTGTGCAGGAGATGAAAGAGAAATCGCTGCCTTTTGCGCTCATGTGTCGGAATTAGATCTTTCTGACAACAAACTTGAAGACTGGCACGAGGTAAGTTCTTATTTTGGTGAAAGAAATAACCACTGTATTATTGTTTATGTTATTATATATTCTGCTGAATTCAGGTGCTCACTTGAGATTCTTGTTGTCTGTACCTGTCGAGATAAATGACTTCATCAACTGCCTGTGGTGGTTGTTCCAACAGCTTTGTTGTTGCCAACTTGTTTTTCATCATTATGAAAAGGACTGAGGAACTTTCCAGTCATCAGGAGGTTAATGAGTCTGTAGAGGTTTAGACTACTACCAGTGCATTGAATTCTGTACTACTTCACTGGCTTATACATCTTATGCTCATTTTTCCACTTCTGCTTCAGTATTTATCACTATAAATTGACGTACAATTCTTAGAGCTTGAAACCAAGATTATGAAAGTATTTATTCTTATTAGTGAAATTTACCCCAGATATATTAGAACTTTTCTTATATTATCAAGTCCTTCTGACGGTTAGATATAACTGATGTCTTTTGACCTCAGAGAAACTCTAAGTACACAAGTGACAGCATTATAACCATTCTCTCTTGTTATTATAGGTAGCATTACAGACCTGATTGTAGCATTACCTGATAGAAACTAACTGGAAGAATAAAGGACAAATAATTGTTCTTGCTTGCTTCATTCTCCAGCCTTAATTTAGGCTATTTTTTTGCTTCAGCTATTGGAGACAGTCCCCATTTATTGTATGTTGCACAGTACCACCACAGACTCCTTTTAGCACATGAACCACGCTGTGACACCCTTAAATCCTTTAAAGGCTTTCATTGCATAGAAACAAAGGTCTGAATGCTTTGAGCTTAGTCCTTCATCGTATGGTCATATGGCCCTTTGTGATTTCTGGAACTTTCATTTTGTTTTGAGACAGGGTCTCACTATTTAGTTTAGGTTGATCTTGAGCTCACTATCTAGCCCAGGCTGGCCTTGAACTTGAAGTGATCCTCTTGCCTCAGCCTCCTAAGGGTTGGGATTACAGGCATGTGCCTCTTTGCCGTACCTGGCATTTCTGGAACTTCATTTGCATCTTTAGCCATTTACTTTTACTTGCAGCGCTTAATAAACTCATGACATGCAAAGCTTTTATTCATGCTGAACCCACTGCTCTCTTTCTCCTCTGTCTACCTGGCCACTTCCTATTTATCCTTCCAGACTTGGCCCAGGTTGCTGTTTCTCTGTGAAATCTTCCCTGGCTCTCATTCAGGCAGTCAGATCACCCTGGAGCCCTGTATCGTGCTGCTGTGATAGGATTTATCACAGTGCTGTAGTCACTTGCTTACTTGACAGTTTTCCTGCTAGACTAAGAGGTTATTTCAGGTGGAGACTTTTGTCTTTTTAAATTTATCAGTACTGAGCAGAGTAGGAAGTCAAATGTTTATTGAATGTGTTAATAAATAAATGATTATATCTTATGGATTAATCAGGATCACTTTCTCAAACTTTTCCTGTGATTTTAAGAAGTTTACCTAGTTCTCTAGGTAAAATTCTCTAGTTCTTCAGCTCACTCATCCATAAGACATGTTTGCTGATTAGAATTAGTCATTCAAGTACTTTGTAGGTATTGAATGCTATGCAAATCCTAAGATAGCTTTCTTTATGAAAAACCGATCTGTATCCTAATTTGTTCACTTTTTAATATTTACCTACTTCATAGGCTTATTTTGCCTGGTAATTGTTCTGTTAGTTATACTTCCTGTTTTCCTTAGGATTTTTACCAAAATTCTTGGACGTGTGGTTTACCTAATTTCTAAGTGATACACAGATTTTCAGGGCTATTCCAAGAAGTAATCTCTATCTGTACATTTAATGATCTAAATAACTAGTATAACTCACTGTTTGACAAGTTATAGTCTGTACTTTCTTAGTCTTTTGAGACACCTCATTGCCATGCATACTCCATCCACACTGCACAAATGTGAAAGGAGCACCTTGTTAATCCTCCTTCTCTGTAATTCTCCTGAGTCCTCCTGCTGAAGGTCTAGTGAGATTTGTGGTCTGGATTGGTGACAAGTCAGACCAATTCTTCCTGTGAGTCAGCTCAGCTATTATGATCATGTGCTGAATCCTCTAAATTTGTTTCCTTGGGAATATAAAATTTCACAAAGGCTCTGTGCCTTCAGATTGACTTGTACTTTGAAATGTACATGAGATTTTGCTACCTGGTGGGAGCAGTTTAATAATGATGTAGGAGGCCGTATGTAGTATGGATCATTACGCTGTGCTTACACTAAGTAATTCAACCTTCTCTCTGCTCAGACAAAGGTCTGTATTGAATATTTCTCAGGCCGCATTGACATATAGCCAGGGAGTCGCATATATATTTGTATTCTTATCTACATTCTGTTTTTGCCCTATTATGTGCTCAGTAATCTGTTTTTAGGGAGTTTTCAGGTGAACATTTGTTGCTGCTACTTTCAAGTTTCCATTTTCTGTTTATTTACTTATTTACCTTTTCAGTACTGGGGAATAAACCCCATACTTTTGCACTGAGCTAATTCCTCAATCCTTTTTATTTTTATTTTTGGACAGGGTCCTGCTAGGTTGCTGAGGCTAGCCTTGAACTTGTGCTCCTGCTGCCTCAGCCTGCTGAATAGCTGGGAGTGTAGGCATGTGCTCCAGTTTATTTTTGTTTTTTTTCATTCCTTTACAATTACTCCTTATCCTTCACTACAGTTAATCCCAGTCTTTTAGAGTATGTATCAGAGAACAAAGACAAAGGAGAAGTACTGAAGGAATATTGACTTTTTGCTTTGATAAGCTCTTTGCCAGGCTACAGAAGCCTCATATGGTCACTGATTTTAAGACACTACATTTCAACCTCATTAGAATGCCTATGTCTGATTACCAAAAATATTTGTCCCTAACCATTAACTAGGTTCACTTTAGCCAGTGTTAATACAACAAATGTGGACCAATATAATAGGTTCTTTCAGTTTTCTGTATTGTCACTAATATGAATTATGAGTAACTTCTTTTGTAATTTAAAGTGTTGGTTGCTATACATCCAAAGGCTATACATGCCAAAGTATGAGTGAGAAATGTAGTACTTCTATGGGGAGGTGGAGATTTACCTCTATCCTATTAAATTTAGACACGGATCTGTTAATAAAATGCACTTTTTAGCTGTTGACTTAAAATTTTTGCTGAGTAAAATTTTGTCAGACCTTTCCCAGGATATCTCCTTTTTTTCAGCTTTCCTTATCAAAACCATTTTATAAAAGAAATTAAATCAAGCAATTGAGAGGAGGTAGGTAGGAATTAGCCGGTCAGGTGAGGTAGAGAATAGCTTGGGTATAAATTACAGATTGTTATCTTAAAACCCTTTCCCCATGTTCCTTAAATCTTTAGTTTCTTCTCTTTTAGAAGCCAGTGTGGAGGATCCCCTATTAAATCGTGAGACTGGAGGCCTAAGAGGGTGATCCAAGTTCATCTCCATGTTTCTGCACATGAGCGAACTCAGCTCAGTCCAGCGGGAGGAGTGGTTGTGTTGTTGTTTAGAATTTAAGAAAGAAAAGTCAGTGTACAGCCCTAGAAACTCAGAGGGATGTTTGTTAGTCTTTGCCACTGGGAAATTTTCTATAAGTAAATTTTTCTGTCGTATTTTTCTGAGTATCAATTTGAGTTTACACAAAAAATTTTCACTTGTGCCCTTTAAAAAAAGACAGTATTTATCTATTTCTAACATGTATTACTTTCCTACTTAAGTTATGAAACTCTAGTACAATTTTGTGTTTTTAGAGTAGACAGGCAATTAATATAAATGTATTCTTACTGAGTAGTAGTGTAGATATAGGTTCTGATGATTACATTATATATCTGTTAGAAAACATATATGAAGTAAAATAACATTGTTGAACCTCAGTTCCTTCACTTACTAGAGCAAAAGTAATGTAGTGAACAGCTGTATAAAAATATCTGTTGGAAAATCTCCCAGAAATTATTTTAAAACTCTTAAATTACGTAGTTTTTAATATCTTCTTTATTTTAAAAATAAAATATGAGAAGGAAGCAAAGAACTTAAAATAAAATATGAGAAGGAAGCAAAGAACTATTTAACTGGGTTTTACCAAAATTATCAGTTAGTCTTCATGCTGTAAGTGGAGCAAAATTCCATTTTTTTCCCCCCTGCTTAAAAGATATAAGATATAGCTGGTCATCATCTTCTATATGAAGGTCCTTTGTATCATTAGTGTTCAGGTCATAGAATCCAGTACAAGCTTGGTCCTTGCATGAGCTATGTAGCTGTATTGCAATCACAGACTAAACTCCAGATTCTAGCCATATATTGTATAAATGTTTGGTACCTTTTGATCACCAAAAGGATCAAGCGGAAGAACAGATGTAGACTGGTATAAATTTCCTGTACTTTAAACATAAGTCTTCTGTATTTTCTCTAATGAGAAATAAAAGTGGTGCTAACTTCAAAGGGTTAGTGTGGGGGATAGATGAAATAGTGAATGTGAAGAACTTTCCCTCTGACATCCTTCTCTAAACCTTATTGGAATTAATCTACTCTGATTTTAGAGCTCCTGAGCTGACTATAAACAAAGACCTGATGTAAAATAGTTACTTTTTCTTTCTACCCATGATTCCCCTCTTTTCCTCCATATAGTTTTTTCAAGAGCTCTGAAAAGAAACTGATACCAAGGTCCCAACCTGGAAGCTTGTCCCACTTGTGAAATTTCTGACTTAATAGTTTATAGTAGAACTGGGAATCAGTATATTTTGATGCATAACAAGAGTTGAGATACTGGTTCATAGTATTATTATATTAGCAATAGTTTTATTGAATGATTTTGTGCCATAATTTATCAGTAAACGTTAAATACCCCACCATCCCTGCTTCTATGCAATTAGTGGGTAATTAAGAAAACAGTTCAAAAAGAGATGCCATTTGCTGTGCTGAGTGCATCACATGTATAGTTCATTTATTTCCACAGCCATGTCACATCAATGGGTACTATGTTCCTTGTCTTATAAATCGGGAAACTGATTTATCTGAAGTCACACAGCTAGTGTTGGAAACTGGTTTGAACCCAGATTTTCCATCTCTGAAACTAATCCTGACTACCCCTTTCTATTCCATTTTTCATAATTTAGTTAACACATTGTCTAGATGCTTGATACTTAGTATATTTACTGAGCATTTAGTATTTCTTTCTTGTTTGAGCTTATCCTCATTCATTGTGTCAACTGCTCTTTAATTGTCTCTTGTTTTTTTTTCTGGTTATAGCTCTGATGACTAGTATATAGAAAGAACAATGACTGTGATTTTTGAATTCCAAATTTGTGACTCTGAGGTGTTAGTCAAATTATTCAACATTGTTGAACCTCAGTTCCTTCACTTATTAGAGCAAAAGTAGCATAGTGAACACGCTATATAAAAACTAGTTCTGTACAAGTAAATAGTTAAATTCAGTATTTTCCTTTTCCCTATCTACCAGTTTGCTATCTACATCATTGAATTAGTGATTATTCTTCCACTTTAGTTGCATAGTTATGGATACTTTAGTTTTTAAGTAAATACATTTTAAAGTGTGATACACATCTTCAGGCCAGACAGTTTTGATTGAGACTGTGTAGTCAGTTTTGAACATGTGAATTGTTACTGGGTGGTTTTAAAGAAACCTTTAATTAGGCTTAATGTTTTGAGAATGAGAAGAAGAAGATACTCAGAAAGAATGACCCAGTCTCACCTCTTGAAAAATTTATAGTCTGGAATGTCATCTAAACTATCTTTTTATCTTTATTTATCACAGAAACTATCACATAGAGAACAGAAACTTTGCTAATGGTGACATAGGAAATCTTTTTTGTACCATTACTTATCAGATATGCTACTATTTCATCGAAGAAGATTAAGTTATTTGCCAAGAGTTGTTGAAATCACTTATGCTGCTCTGTGGGTAGCATCACTAAATAGGACGCCCTGTGGTAAATGGGCCTATGCCTGGGGACCCACTCACTTAGGCCTTCTTGAGCGTGATTGCTATGTAAAAGCTCTGATTACTGCCTGATATGCTTTTCCTTTCTTTCTTTTCTTTTTTTTTTGCCTCTCCAGGTCAGTAAAATTGTGTCAAATGTTCCCCAGTTGGAGTTTCTAAACCTGAGTTCCAACCCTCTGAATTTGTCAGTTTTAGAAAGAACATGTGCTGGGTCGTTTTCTGGGGTTCGCAAACTCGTCCTCAACAACAGCAAAGCTTCATGGGAGACAGTACACACGATCCTGCAGGAGTTACCAGAGTAAGCCTGAGAGCATGGTGGAGAGGGAGCTGTGCTGCCGTCTGTGTTAGTACATAGAACTACTGCTGATCTCCCATCTCAGAAATACTAGACCTGCTGCCTGAATGGAGAAAGAGGCTTGAAAAATGAAGTAATTAGCATGAGGGTGTGAGGGTAATCTGGTAGCATTTCCAGCAGAATACTTATTCAGTGTTGAGTAGCTCTGAGACATGAGATATGTCATCCTTTGGCTAGAAAATACCCCTGAGAAGCACTTATCGCTTCTAGATCAGCTTAGCCTTTCTCCATTCTAATCTTCTGATTACCTGATTTAAGAATTTTACTTCAACTTTTTTCTTTGGGAGGAAAAAAAAATTCATAGTATCTCTAAAACATCTTAACATTTAGATGATTAAATGCCTAACTGCCCTGATTGGAAAATGGACCTGTGGGATTCTTTTCAACAATTTAAGAAACAAATCATACTTTTGTTTGTCAGTTTAGAAATGCAAATTGTTTTGAGAATGTAATGACCAAGGTATATAAAATTTTGTTTGTGTCTGTGTTTATGCACGTAAGGGTGCAAAATACTTTAAAAAATATATGAAGGAAACTATAGGTTTTGGG